TAGGAAATATCATGTGCTTTCCTACTTCCTCCCCAGTAGGGGGATGGCAGTGTAAGGGAAGTGGACATCATAAGCGACACTGATTGGTAAAGCCTCGTTGAACACCATACATGGAACGGATAAATTTAGCCTTTATATTATTTCGTTCTGTTTTAGTTTTCCAGGTTTTAACGTAAATAGAAGTACATTAATATAAATGTGTAATATGCCCAATAGGTTTTGACTTAAGGCTAAAATATTATGTAACATCTGTTAAAATTATACTCTATAGACAATTTAAAAAAAATAAAAAAATTATGTGACTAATACGGGACGTCGTGCTCGACAGTTGCACTCGGGATCACTCAACTAAAATACATATACACCTTTCAATAAATATTTTAAAAGTTTTTTTTTAATTTGGAAAATTAACTTTTGGTTAATGCTATCAAAGCGGTGATAGTAATAAAAGTTATTTAACTATATTACACCTATCAACACCCTTCCAAACAAGACAAGACAATCAATTGTTTCAGATTAAAAACTATTAAAATCAAGTATCTCAACAATATTAACTGAACAAAATTTAAAAAATAAAAAGACTAGAATACTTGTGTTTGTGTGTGCGTTCGAATGCATATGAGATAGCATGTGCGTTCGATAGTGTGCCCTTAATCTATGTGCATTTGCGAGCGTGTGCGTTGTGTTTGGGAGTGTTAGTGTGCATATGTGTGAGTACGTGCGTGTGACTAAGTGATTCGATTGTATAGTAATTAAATCACAATTATTTCAGTTTCTTAGTAAGACAATGATTTCAACTCCTCAACCAGATTCCTCTTTAAGAGACTACGGGGTAGACAGTAAATATCTATAACCTTATTTATGTATGTCTGATCAGTACATAGTATAAAACAAGTCGCTATCCGCCGTCTACCTCACTATGTATGCTTAGATCTTTAAAACTACGCAACGTATTTTTAATAGATAGAGTAATTCTTAAGGAACATTTATATGTCGCGGAGAACCTCACGGGTAACCGGGGCTCCGGCTCGACGTGCAGGAGAAGGAACGGGGTGGTTTTTAGTAAGTAAGAGTCTAACACTCCCTTCCGTCAACTCACCCAGGCGGGAGCAGTCATTCGATGATTTTCCCCCCTTAAAAAAAAGAAACATTTATATGTATGTATAATACATGCATATTGCACCCGTGCAAAGCCTGGGCGGGTCGCTAATTTAATCTTAATTCATAACTCCACATACATACATATATTGTAAGCTGAAATTTCAGAATTACTAGCTCATTTTCGTCGTATCTAAAATTTTCAAACCTTCATTTAATGGGTATCACGAAACTATTCCGCAGAGGTTTTTCTTAGAGAACCTCAACATGTGCACCCAGTTAATCTTCCATAATGACCATTTCAACTATTTAATTGTAGTCGGTAAAACTTCTTCCCCAAATAAATTAACGACCTCACATTTAGAGGGTTGTCTGATCAGAAAATTGTGGCTACGGTGTTTAACATGCCTCGAGTTACTTTTTACACCTGTAAATGCTCCAAAAACTTACATCATATATTTATTAAATAAATTAAATTCGAAATAATAATAAGGAAATCGAATTCAACACCAAGTTATTGTGATGCTGGCAGAATTACTTGTAGCCAATCTTATGTAATAATTATAATATAATAATTAAATATCTTTACATACATTAAAATTTTAACATTATTAAATTCGTAAAAAAGGAAAACATACATTGAAAAATATTTACAATAAAGTGGGTATATAATATTTCAAATAATATGAATGATTATAAAATAAATTCTGTATAAAAAACAACACTGCATTATATATTTTTCAAGATAATGCTAATATGAATAAAACTAAGTAATATATAGAAAATACACAAAAAAGAACAGGAAAAGTTTACAGTTCCTGCTAACACGTAAAACAAAAACTATTACACAACGCATTCAAATAATATGCAAAATAATATAAAAGTAAAAAGTATTATTCTCCTGTGTTTATAATTCCGTTTTAAATAACTGTACCTCACCTTGGCATTAAATAAATAAATTTATTATTATTTATTTCGCAATTCAGACCTCAGACACTGCTGTATTATTTGAGGTAGGACTTAATTTACAAGCATTAATGCAGTTCCTTGTGTATAAATAAATAAATAAATTAACTTTTTTATACAGGTGTGACTGATTACTATCTAATTATTTAACATACAATCAGTATTTAAGACCTTCACCATTCTAAGGCTAGACACACAAATAAAATTATCTTAAAAAGTAGCTGAATATTAATGCTAAATTAAAATATGAATGCATTTGGTAGTTTGACGTCAACACGGCTATATTTTACGTTATTATCTTTTATTTCAAAATTGGCTAGTAATACGGGTTATTCATAAGAATTAAAAAAATATTCTCATATCTACCAAATTATTAGAAACTCATTTAAGTAGGTATTGACGACCATTAAAATGATTTTGCAAAACTCAATCGTTCAAGGCTACGCCAATTTTGGGGATGTTGCTACGTGCTACGAGTTCGTAGCAACTAAAAAACCCTTACAAGATCTATTGGCGTTTAACAATTTTGTACCAACGCCAAACATTTTTAAAATCGAAATATTACTAGTATTAAATACTTGTGTTACTATATTTTCTTAAACTGAACTTCTAAGTTTTAGAAGTAAAGGTTGCTACGACCACGTAGCACCATGACAAGTCTTATATAGTTTTATGCACACTATCTTTGGATGTTTATTTGTTGAGATGAAATAATTGAATATATCACATTTTAATATTATAACAGTCGTTTATTTCAAAATCAATGGCTTGCCCTTACTATAGTGCATCAGAACGCAATATTAGAACTACGCCCGTGCTACGATCGCGTAGTCAATACTTTCAAGTTTTCAGTATTTCGTTTTCGATCGATATATATTTATTTTTAATTATTATTCTTAAGTTCATTTTCAAAATCAAGTGGCCATTGTATATTATGCATTATCGAGTTTATGTCAAAAAACTTAAGTTGCTGCTACGAAATCGTAGCTCGTAAATTAACGAATCAACTTGTTTTCGATTTTTTTTCCTATTACTTTTAATTGCACCGCACGATTGGCGCGGTGGTTGGGCAACTGACTGGCGCGCAACGTGTCGCGGGTTTGATTCCCGCACGGAACAAGTCTTTGTATGATCCACAGATTGTTGTTCCGGGTCCGGATGTAATGTGTATGTGAACCTGTATGTTTGTAAACGCACCCACGACACAGGAGAAAATCATCGTGTGGGGCAATGTTTAAAAAAAATTATAAGACGCCCTAAATTTTTTAGTTTTTTTTATTATACAAATAGAAAATTGTTACGATATTGTTCAATAATTTGGTTTCTGGGAAATTAAGTGAGATATGTAAAGTTTTGTATAATTATATACGAAACATTAATTAGAACATAACATAACGCCTTTTATTCCCGAAGGGGTAGGTAGAAGTGCACATTACGGAACGCATACTGAATGCATTTATTAAAAGTTTATACATAGTACTGTAATTAATTAGCACGCCATTGTTATTTTAAACTTTGTAGCTCTTGTTGAGTCACTGTAAGACTCAGATGAGTTTCTGGAATAATCGGTACTTTTTACCTACTAGCGAGCTGACGGATGGATGAAAGCTGTACATAGAAAATGAACAACAATAAATAACAATTACTTATATTATTGTAATTGAACCTATGACTCACATTCTCAATGGAAATTTTCTAGATTCTTTGAACTAGTTAAGTCGGCACAAACTTAATACTTTTAGTAGCGTAAAATGATATATGATATGTGTACATGCTTACTCGGATTAATACGCTAACTACATACTTAGGCACATACTAATTAATTCCCATCATGGCGGTCGTACGCGTGTAAATAATTGTATGTAAACATCGAAGCATGCAGCGACTGCTTGATAGTGTTCTACACGCGTTTCCCGCCATAACCTAACTTTGAAGAATGACGTGAACTAGGAACGATACCGATGAAATAAAATGTTGGCTGAACTGAAGCTGAAAAAAAGTTTGGTAAGTGTTTGAAAGTTGTGTGAAGATGCGTGCAGGACAGTGTAGTGGCGAGTACGTCCGAGATGGCGGGCGCGCGCGGTCATACGACGCCACTTCTCTCTATCAGAGCCCTCCGCCGCCCTCCTCTCCGCGGCCAGCGCGGCGCCCGCTGAGCGGAATTTGCACAAGCGGCGCGCCTCGCGACGCGGTTCAGTGTACGTGCGACCGCTCGCGGCCGAGGACGAATTGCCGCGTCACGCGCACTGCTCTGCTTATTACGCAGTTAAAACTATCGCTGACCGCGTGGACTGTCGTGAAACTACTTTTAGTGACTTTTAACTTGTTCTATGCCCCAAATAATCACATAACAAGTGTATACTCCCCCTATGGACCCAGTGATAACTCTTATCAGTGTGGAAAAGTTACAAAGTGTGTACCGAACTTGGAAGAACATACGAATTTATGAATTCTTGGGACTTTTGACACTGTTGATGACCTAGGAGGATAGTTTACCCATAGTTGGCCGATTCGAGCCACGTTACAAGGTTATCGCGTCTCTAGCCCGCCAGTGATGAATTGGAAAATCGGCGCGTAGTCGCTCACGTGGTGTGCGCCCCGCCCCCGCCTCGCCCGCGCTTATATTTAGCGAAAATCGCCTCTCGGGAGCGGCCCGACGGCCGACGCTCTTTGCGCACATCGCTGTTTATGAACGTTAGCGAGACGCCACATGTTATTGGCTTCGAATAACAAAACCGATAAGCAGAAGACAGATAACCTCTCCGGATCGCGATCTGTGTCCGAAACTTCTGGAAATAGAAAGAAATCAGAAAAATATTAAAAAGAGAGCGCTCTGAGATGCTAACGGCCGGTATCGGCACGCGCCGGTGAGCGCTCATTCCGACACACCTACCAAAAAATTCCACTACTAAAGTTTTCGAGGAAAAGTGTGCAACATGTCTCTTCAGGGGAGCGGTGGTTACCAGAGCCCGTGGTCGTCGCAGGGTGGGCACTCGGAGTTGGACAATACGATTGATTTGGAACCTTTGGGCGAACTAACAGAGGTCGGTTTTGAGCCGCAGACGCGCGCGCGATCCAACACGTGGCCGCTACCAAGGCCAGACAACTACGTCGAAGCGGCTGACGACACTGGCTCCAAGAAGAACTCCAATCAGAATCTGAGTGGTAAATACTATTTGTCCAACCAAGCGATAGTAGTAAGGTCGCAGTCGCGATACGCGCTGCTATTTAGGTCGACCACCGTCTATGTAGGTAGTCCGAATACACTTCTCGTGTAAAATTCCAATAAAAACACAAGTCGTTCTCTGTATGATGATATGATGAACGAAAAACACATTGTTTGTTTACCTGTGTAGTTACGATCGTAGGTACTCTCACGCGTAGATAATGAATCGGTCGGTACACCTACCTGTGACACACCACGAGTTTGACAATTATACACTTAGCTGTGTGTGTATACAAATAAGCAGTAAAAACAATGATATCGAAATTGTTTGCACTGCACAAATTCAACAGATGATAGCATAAATGTATGAAATTCAATAGGCCTACGACGTAGCCACGTAGTGTCAACGTGATACGTAAATTCTCGATCTTGTCTACATATTGTTTAGGTAAAGTTTTATTTTTCTGGGGGCGTACTTCCTACATCAAGTTTGTTTTCATAACTTCTTAGACTATTATCTCCATATTTATTTATCCGAAAATATTTTAATAATATTATGTTTTTTTGGAAAAACGCGTTATCATATGATTATCGAAATATTCCAGTAAATAGTATATGACCTTTTCGTTGTTTACATTGCGATCATACATTGTAAGTACATATTAACTTATCTGCTTATAAAATCTAAGTGCGTATTTTGCATTATATTTCACAGAAATCTTACTCATGTGTGCAAAATATTTACATGAACACGTGAAAGTCTATAAATTGTAATACTATTCGAAGGCCTAAGGAAAATTAATACCAAAATAATGAATAATTAGCAGGTACTCCATAATATCACACTCGCTAGTATATGTACATTCCTACAAACCACTGAAAAACCACATTGTATTAAACGTTCTAATATGTATAATGATGGTATACCATGTCACGTCCAGAAAATATTAATAATTCGAGGAACATTTTAATATCGAAGTAATCAAAGCGTAACGAATACCAGCTATTCCTATTACCTGCAGGCTTAAGTAGTACCTATATCATATCCGTATTCGTATTCACGGGATCAATTCCTGCATTAAAAGATTTTTGTGTTATTTATCAACAAATTGTTATTTATTTATTTGTGCTTTTGGGCTTTATTTGTAAAAATATCCACTTATTGTACTTACTTAAAGATAAAATGAATTTTGAAATATGACTGATTACAAAATATATTTTTATGTTTGATTAATATAAAAATAATGGTATAGTCGTATGTGACTCACATGAAATTTGTTTCCCTAAAACTGAGAATTTTAAAATCATGAATTGCAATGCTATGCTTATAATTAACATTGTTTTAATCATAAAAAAACGTACAACTAACGTACATCATAATTACTAAAATAGTATGTATGCAATTAATGAAAACAGTAAAACCCCATGATAAATCTATCAAAAATCCAATATGCGTAATATAATAAGGAAAAATTGTATATAAATTTATACTTCTATGTATAATAATTATATCCCCAATGCTGACGTCATAAACGTATAAAATACTGTAAAATAATAATTAAACAACTGTATTATAAATTAATAACATGCTTACTGAAGAATGAAAATTTATGATCCAACTGTTTGTGCACAGATATTAATTACCTACGAAACATAGAATTTAAGCATATAGGGAATATTGAGAAACCCCTTAGAATAAAATATGTTATAAAAATCTAATTAATTAATCACTTTACCAAATAAGTAATTAAGTACTTATCGGATAAATAACAATAACAAATAGAAAACTAAAGCATTTGCAAAAAAAATATTATACTAGGTACTGCCCACGACTTCGTACGCGCCATCCCGTTTTCTCCCGTTCCCGTAGTATTAAGGATTTTTTTCTGTCATAAGAACCTTCTCCTGACAATATAACGAACACCACAAAAAAATTGTGAAATCGGTCCAGCCGTTCCCGCGTAATGGCGTGACCAAGAGATATGGATATTCATTTCCCTTAACCTGTTGAAAATTGTTGAAAATCATCCCCTAAATTTGTTCATACAAAAGTAGTCTCTAAACATTGGAAATAAGGTCTATAATATAGTTAGTGGAGAGCGGCCACCAGTGACCGCTTTGGGATATACGGATATGACAAACTTTTAAGTTATGAAACTGCTTTTACTAGGCATTTCATAAAAAATATGCCACGACATTTCTAAAACAAATACGCTTATAAACAACTCAGGCGCAAGTGAAGAGACTTGAATTTTTTTTTAAAACAATTCATTGTCAGTGAAAACTGGTAAAAAACAAGGATTATTACAATTTATGTATTATATTGGTATTATATTTGAGGTTATTTTCTACTTACATAATCCTCTGTAACCGTATAACTCCTTTGAGGGTTTTCTGATAAATAGGAAACTAAACTTTATAAGTCAAGTAATAGGGTTTATATTAACATATATGTTGTCAGTTTTAAAGCAATATATCATAATAAATGTATGTTTTACTTGTTTATTACATATTGCAGTGCACTCACACTCTACACGTGTTAAAACATTGCTTGCATATACTTAGTGCTAATCATATATATTATTTTGATTTAGCACTGACAAGATATTCACATTTCAATGACATATAGTCAACTCTTTCCATAGATTATTTTTTCTAGCTAGGTATTTAAAAAGCAAATAATGTTTGATCACTAAACATTCACAAACCATATTACTTGTATATAATACAGAAATAAATTACATTAAAAGAATAATCCGAATTGTCTATATCTTAAGTAAATACGAAATCCGTTTAAAGTGATTCTCTAAACAAAATATTATTTAAGTTATTACAAATCTTTAATAATTCATAGTTATGCATAAATAAATAAAAATAAATCTACTAATACGGAAAACGGAAAAAAGAAAAATTAAACGAAACGCTTGCGCAGGTCGCGCAAAAAATGTTAATTTTATCGCAACAAATTAATGGCGTTCCTAATGGAACGGTATAAAAAATTAAATAAAATTGAAAACTAATAACCATACGTGCCTATTATTTTATTTAAAGACTTTTGCATCTAAAATTTATTCAAATAAATTGATACCGATTAGTTTCAATTGTATTTCCACAACTTTGGATTAGCCCTATAGGTGTTACGTATACCTGGTAGCTTCTGATCACACACATCTAAGTACTTTGACATTAGTGATACAAAAGGCCATTGCACTTAATTTTTTAACGCCTGACATTGTAATAGCTTCCGTTATTGTCTATGTGCAATTTTTACTTACCTACATAGAAAGAAAGAAAAATAATTTATTGGCCATTGTACCACATATTGTAGGCCTATAACACAATTCTAAGATAATTACAATTAAATAAATAATTACATATAAGGTATTTTGCTTCATTCATCATCAACAAAATTTTGCTTAAGATAACATGTATAATTGCACATACATGGCCGTTGACTAAAGATGCTCATGATATATATATACATATATAACCAAATTTTAAGTTGGTGTTAACTCCAATATATACCGCCAATGTTCATAATTATATTCTTACTCGACAAACCTTTTATCACCCATCGCTTTAATATGAGTCATTTTTAACTGTAACAATGTATTATTTTATTATTTCTTATTAACTTTAGGAAAATGGTTTCTTGTTTAGCGCTAAACCAAATACTTGTGCGTAACTAGATTCGGTTGCGTAGCCACATATTGATAACGTGTTTTGACGTAGAACTAGGGTTCTTACTAGTGGTCAGCAATTACCTACAATAACAAAAACAATAAAGAGAAGGGATACTTGGAACGAATGCTTATTATTGTTGTTTTAACTATTATATACGTCATTGTTTGTATATACGCTTTAAAATTGTGGTCCTTTAGTAATTAATACAATTATGCAAATATTCATGTGGTTTTACTCTTTCTAAATAAACCCACATTACGTTTGGTTCATAACTGGACTCTGTTGCGTGTCTAAGCGGTAGTCTATTTGTTGATAAATAATACGTTTTGACGTAAATTAGGGATGTCACTGGTGGTCTGTGCACTAGAATAACAAAAACATTTTAAGAAGGTACATTGGACATTGTTTGTTTATAACTTGCGTAACATGTTACTATTTGTCATAAATCTAAGACTGAAACAACAAAAACGAATGAATAATACTTTTGTAATTTTTCTGCCATATAGTTATGGTTTTTCTTAGTAATCAATTTGGTGTTCAATCGGGAAATAATGTCATTGTTTTGTATTGCATTTAAATGCAAGTGATTATTAACTAGCTGTCATTTAAATGAATCAAGTTGCACTATGGTCGACAACAAAAGACACAACATTGGTTGATTCTTACACTAAGACTTGATTTAGAATTAGAAATTGGTTGAATGAGAAGAATACTGAATTAGGGTTAAGAAGTTCCGAAGTAACAAAAAATATTTGAATAAAAAACATCAATTTTGCCTCTGTCATCAAATTGAAAAAAAACTAAATATAGATACATTACATTGCATTTTCCGAGGACTGACGTATTTATTCGACAATCTAACTTTTGATTGACAGTCAGATTGTGACCATCGTGTATCTGAACAAAAATTGATTATTTCATGATCGATCGGTCAATTAGATATCATGTCAATAGGCACTTTAGACATAGGATTTAATACTTGAAGGTGTTACAAGAACTGAATATACCTAACTTTTCCAAAGTGAGACTTCATTGCATTTTCAGATTCATAATTCATACACATAGGTACACATGAATTGAATCCAGAACATTGTAAACAAAACAAATCTCTCAGAAAAGTATAATAGTTCACCTTATAAATTTCAGCCGAACATTTTTTTCGAACAACTTCCAAATAAGAATTCTCTAATATAATTTTTCTACCAGGTGCTCCACCACTGCCAGCTGTTGGAACCAAGAAGAATTCATCCCGCCGCAATGCTTGGGGCAACCTCTCATACGCTGATCTCATTACCCGAGCCATCACCTCAGCACAGGACAACAGACTCACGTTGTCTCAAATATACGAGTGGATGGTTCAAAATGTGCCATATTTTAAGGATAAGGGAGATAGCAACTCGTCAGCTGGATGGAAGGTAGGATTTTATTTGTTTTATCTAAACTTTCTTGCCCTCTAAAATACATATAACTAGTTAATGGCTAATCAAATCAGGAATCACACACATACACAAGTCTATATTTCAATCTTATTATTGTAAATAAAGGGAATAAAAGACTGATCGAAAAGGATAATGTAAAAATATAATTTGAATTATGGTATATTTATCTAGGCCGATACTAGAACGAAGCGACGCGATGTACAAAACTCATAACAGTTATTTGCAATTTTATTATAATATCAGACTAAAAATATAAATTGCCAATTATCTTGATTGACTTTTCAGTTTGAATTTCACTGATTGTTGGTTATTCTATTGCGGTTAAGCCACTATTTGACGAGCATAATTATTTGGTTTAATAACAGTTGTTAATTTAACAGCAAAATGCTACGTTTGATTCATTTGAACCATGAAATACATATTTTATTGCAATAATACTAAAATGTCAAAAGAGTAAAGTTTTGTGGTAAACATAATATATAGTTTAGAGAGATAATTCAGCATCATGTATTAAAAGACGCTGTAAATATTTCCAAAACATAAAATCTAAACGTGCCCGAATACACTGTTTACAAAATGATCAGAGATATTTTACGTATTGCACAGAATTTGAAGTAATTTAGAAAATATTCTAAGGGCATTCCTAAATATGAGTCATTCTGGCGTCTGTCCATCAGGTTGGCTCTTTGATACGAGAAGGTGGCATCATGCCATTTGGTGTGTTATATCGTGGTGCCTTATCTGGGCGCCTACATAGTGAGAGACAAATGAACCTTATATATTTAACGAAATATCATAATCATCCTACGTCACCACACCTCACTAGCGATGATATGATAAAAGTACATTTACACGGCTTTTATTATATTTTGAAAGACTTGTAACGTCCAGTGTTCAGTACATTCCTCGTAGTCTTTTTTGGGCTACTAGCTGACATTGAATCCGGTGGGCGTTAACGCACACTCGCGCGTAAACATTAACACTATAGTTTAGAGGCGTCCGCGTTGGCGACTTAACGCAAACTGTTTGAACTCACGCCACGAATCGCGTTTTCCGCGTTCTCTACTGCCAATTTAATTGAAACAAATGTTGCATTGAGATTGCCGTTTTTAATTACAAGGAAGGAATTTTAATCTCCCAATATTGCCCTGTATGAATTTAAGCAATGCTTGTAAAGAATGAAAAGCAGGTACGCATTGGTTTCTTATAAATCTTGAATGAAACAATATTAATGAATGTATATTATGTAGCACATGTAGGTAACTACCTAAGTAATTTAAGATTAGATAACTAAGTAAAAGAGGTACTTGGTTTTTATTGATACATTAGTAAGGCATTTGACCTCGTTTCGTCTTCTTAAAGAAATAAAACTACAATAAACTCACCATAATCACATTCATTTAAAAATTGGCATTGACTAATATAAAGTAATTTTTCTTTCACAAAAATTAAGGCATGTTACAAAGTAGCCTTCGTGTCTTCATAAATATTTCTAAAGCGTTACGCATTTTTTGTGGAACTGCGCAGTGGCACACGTTATCCCAATCGGCTGTGACACGACCGATAAATGATAATAAAAACATTATATCACGCCCGATTTACAATCTTACTACGATGCTACCTCAAAACTTCCTATACATTGCTGTTATGCAATGCCCACTTTATTAACATACAGAACAAACACATCGATGGATAACGTTCACCACGTATAATTGTAGTATTGTTTATCTCGCGGTCACATGACGTTGACACGCCCTCGCTACGATGTTGAATAAAAAATATAAGACATGGAAGTATTCTGTCTCATTCGTAGAATGTTTTATATCTGTTACACGTACTTATTTTAATATTCGATTGAATCTATACGCTTGTCGAAGATTAGCGTAGAATACCACGAACTCGATGACCTTCGCCAGCGTACCCATGGCATTGATTAATGTTTACGCATACAATGCTCATTCAAGCTGCATGCGTCTTGGGCAATTATAACAATTGGAGTAGAGGCAATAAGGCCGAAAATTGAACGACAATGGCCCGTGTCATTGTAAGCTTAGTTAATTAGCAAACTGTTGAAGTCGTGCGTCACATTCTTAAATGACACGACTGATGTAAAATAAAAGAGACAGATGATATGACACCTTGTGAGGTGAATGAATCGTCAGTCATATACACGTGCTTACTAATAACAAGCATTTATTATTAATTATGCACTTTTAAAATTGTTATAAAACTGTGTGTACTAAGAAAATTCCTGAAAGAAAATATCTTGTCAAGTCACTAGTCACTCATGTAGCGTTACTTCAATTTGAAAGCGGTTTTCGAGTTGCGCATTCCTGTATACTTTTACACTTCGACAAAAATAACTTTACTGTTGCAAAGCTGAGTGGCGAGCCCACTACATCACGATATAGAATGCAAAGTCTCGATGCTCGGCAGCAATTATTAATTTGTCGTAGGTATACGCATACGCGGTTGTTACTAGACTGGTTTTGAACGTACCATTCGCTTAAAATAAAGTAAAAAAATTTAATTACAAAGGTTTATAGAAAAGTCAGTCGATTTTTTGTATCAAGAAAAATTTAGTCATTTCAAAATTGATTTGAATTAGTTACATTTTGGTAAAAGGTATACAGGTATAAAGGTATATACATAGGTGTTAGGTATAATGTTACATATTCATTTCCGAATGCGTAATTGTGAAATGTGTCGCCAAAGTGTCTCGTATTCGTATGTATATATTTGCCAGGGTTGTCAAAACAACTCTTAGCAATATATGTATATGTACAATTTAATCATATTTTTTTTTATATTTTACATAAACTAATGAACTTTCCGGTGTTTACAAAAATTTTGTTTATATATATTTGCAAAAGTATGAATGACATGGTTATGGTTTAGGTATCAATTTAATTACAATGAAAAACAGAATAACAAAAACACTCTTTTGAGAAACCCGGGATTATGAGGTTTTGCTCCGATATACCATGAATTCGTAAACACATAACGATATTTGTCATCAATAAAATTTATATAGAGAATTATGTGCGGTTAAATAACTAATGATTCAGCTGTTTTTCACTACGAACCGCAATAAGTATTAGCAATTTAAATTCATGTAGGTTAATCTGAATGACGTATTGTATATATATTAATCAATTTAAGTATTCGAAATACATTGTAGAAACTAGTTTAGAAAATGTCTCAGGGACAATAATGAAAAATAGTTTTCATTAAACGTTAAATATTTCTTCTTACTTTGTTTTACACGTTTTTGTATGCGATATAAATCTATATATTGTACTTTTTTATTAATTTGTCACCAGAAAAAAATAAGTAAATATACATATTACAATTTATTTTTTATGTAATTATTACACAATTTATTATTATACATATATTTCTTATAAAAAGGGTACAGAATAGTATAAAAATAAAAAAATGGAGGTCACGGTAATTTGGCCTTATTGGGTACATATATACATATATAAATCCTAGTGATGCCGGATGTGTGAATAGAAGTTGTTTTTAGAACAAAAATTCGTATTCGCCGTATCGATGTCGCCGTGGGTCCAGTTGAATAGCAAATGAAGACTACCGTTACACGAGACCGTTAGCACACCTTCGCAATATCTCATATATATCCTTGCTAGGCACAATATACGAAAAAAACATTAATAGGTATAGGTATAGGTAGTGGAAATCTTCATGCTATGTGGTTTGCACTATAAACGCTGGATACAGGTTACTTCAAACGAGCTATTCTGGAAGTCATTGCAGAAGGCCTATCTTGGGCAATGGACGTCATTTGGCTGATATTACATGATGGTGATGATTATTGAAAATCTTATTTGTAACTTCTTTCTCTAAGGTATTTAGTTTCGACGTTAAAACTGTTTAATGGAAATTGTGTCCATGTTATTGTGATGACGGTTGACGGTTTCCGTATTCAAATATAAATAATGCAACAAACTTTTGACCCAAATCTAAATATTGTAAATAAAACTTCCAGGATGGATCCGATTTGTAACAATTTTAGATTTTAAACGATACCAAAAACATTAAATGTAGGTAAAATACATTATGCCGAAGTCGTAATAAATCTGAAACAGGTCCAACTCGGAGATGCAATTAATAAATAATGAGAATTAGTTAGAGACTACAAATATCGCTGTGTGAAACGTCTGGTAAATAAAAATTCTAAATATATACGCGATTAATCCGGTTAAAAGCAGTTTCATTGATGTATAGAGTTCTCGAAAGACTAAGATATTTCTATCTGCAAATAGTTTGCCTTATTCGATTTTTATTGCAAAAGTAAGTAATTGTTTATAGAGAATAATCAATCACAGTATGCAATATATATTTTGCAATAATAATATATCTAAGCTACACGCGTATAATATTAAATGAACATTACCTAATCGTAGGAAAATTCCAACCGAGACCTTTCTTAATAAGTAATTGAGGTTACATTGATTTACATGGACGCCATCTTGCTCCTCTGTTGATAACACTGAATGATATATTTTCACAGTGGTATATGTGACCGATAACAAAACCATATGACACTCATTCATATATTAAATTATGCTGTGGCCTGCGATATAGGCAAATGTGTACTTTATCTTTGTGAATCATTTATATAGATTTTTGTTCAAAGAAAATGTTAGAACAGTTGTTTTCGAATTTCGATCACGAAACATAATAATGTTATTGAATAAAAATTGATTATATAATGTACCAATCATCCTGATAATTTTTTGCCAACAATTTGATGGAAGAAGAATAGTATTCACCAGTTATAAATAAATTTTAAAATGTAATGTTAATATACATATTATATTTATTCCACACGTCAAAGTCAATAGAATCGCGAATTTTGATATTATTAAGATTTAAAAAGGAAGCTACAAAATCTAGCTACGTGTCTTGTGTACGCAAAATATAGGAAAATATAATATTTAATGAACCACAACTTACACAAAATATTGTTTTCATTGAATCTTAGTGACGGAAGTCACCACTATATTACTAGTGTTATTGTTTACAACATAATGCAAACCACGTCATAGTGATATAACAAACCATAACACGGTACAAACAATTTCTTGGAAATTATTTATTGGAAGTCCCATGGTGGATGATTCACTTATTTTTAATATTGGCTATTTAAATTAGTGTTGGTCACACGAACGAGATCATACTGATGTTTT